TGTTGTCTTCTCTAAAATATTTTTTACTAATCAGGTGTATTAACTAGAACTACTATTATTACAATGACTACATTGGGAAAAAATAGATAAATATGAGAGATAAAGTCGATTAGCGTCTATATTAAAAACTAAAATAAAAGTCAAAAAATTCTTATATTAAGGGCCGAAGTAATAACATGTGAATTAAAACAGCAGGCGTAATAATATTTTACATTTGGAGTAAGATGTAATATCAATAGCACTCATTATTCACGTTCAAAGTTAATTGAATAAATATATAATGAGATATGGTGGCATAAAACTTTCTGTAAATAAGGGTTGATCAGATTTGTTAGTGCCTGTTATGTTAAGTTTACAACATTATCCTCTCTCTTTATGACAATGCATGATTGATTTGAGTGAAAATTTCAGTCCCCCCCCCCCCCTCTTTCTCAGGTTTGACAAAGAACCTAATTTTGTGAGATGAGAGGACATAATTGACTAAATTAGGTGCAAAAAGAGACTGTTTCACATTTAATAATTAAGTTAATATAGTAGACCAAAGGAAGAAGTTCGTGTCAAAGTTGAATGCAATATCCTTTTTTAAAAAAAAATTATAACCATTTGTCAAGTGCTTCCCTTAGATTCTATGAAAACTCTATTAAATTTATTAATTTACTTTTTATTTGATTTAACGGAATTATTTGACCTTGGCCAAAAACATTATTTTAACGGAATGTATTTATAAATAGTACTACATCCGGTCCTTAATATAAAATTTTGTCTTGACTTTTATTTTGATCATTAATATAAGATCCCCATCCACTTTATTTCTCATTTTTTTTAAAATAATCATTCTAATAATGGTAATTCTAACCAATATATTTGATTAGCAAAGATATTTTAGAAAATACAATAGCTATATATTACAAATAACTAATTTAACTTATTTTTTTAATCTACTCAAACTAGTCATCTAGTTATTATATTTAGGATCGGAGGTTTACTATGATCTTGATGGCATGGAAACAACATTAAGTCCCCCCCCCCCAACAAAAAAAAAAAGAAAGGAATGATAAATACATGCTTTTTTATAAGAACAGGAATTTTTGACTTGCCTCTGTGAAATTAGTTGTTCACGTGTTCATGTGCCTCTTTGAACCCCCGAAATTGTATCAGGTCGCTCACGTGAAAACTCTTCTAAATAATATAAAATGCTAATTTTTTTTTTTGGGCCTAGCAGCAAAAGAATTATCCAGATATTATGAGAAAGAGCCCAGTTGAGTATACAATTGGGCCGGAACTTATCTCAAATACCAAAACTGAAATTGGGGTAATCCACAGTTGAGCATACAAGTGTTTCAATCCATATCTAGATGGATTTGGTCCAGGTGGCTGAGAGTGATAATCAAATACTATTGAGTAGGTTGGCCGCCCAAAAAAAAAAACCCATGAAGAAGAAAACTATTACTACCTCCTATCCTTAATATTATTTCCAATTTTTAATATAAGAGCTCATTTAAATTTTATTTTGATTCTAAATATAAGATCTCAATTTATTTTATCTCTCATATTTATTTATTTTTCTAAAATAGTCCCTGTAATAATTGTAATTCTAGTTAATACACTTTATTACCAATAATATTTTAGGAAAGCCAACATTTAACATGACTAATTTTGTTAATATACTTAAATTAGTTAACTAGCTTTTATATCAAAGACCAGATGTAGTATAAGAGTTAGTTTGCTATTTAATTTGGTTTTAAATATAAAACACCAATCCATTTTGTCTTATATATTTATTTATTATTCTCAAAGTAATTCTTACAGTAGTACACATGTTAAAAATTCCATCAATAGTAATTTTAGCTAATACACATGATTAAACAAGGTATTCTAAGAAGGATAATACTTTTTTTTATTACAAATAACTAATTTAACAAACTTTTTTAATTTACTCAAATTAGTCAATTAGCTCTTATATTAAGAATATGACATAACTTTTTTTTCAACCAGGAAAGAAGAATATTTATTGAGGTATGTCAAAACCCAACCTTCTTAAATTTGACTGCTCTCGCAATAAATATATGTTCATAATGTCAAGAAGATACAGAAAAAATTTAAATATAAAACACCAATCCATTTTGTCTTATATATTTATTTATTATTCTCAAAGTAATTCTTACAATAGTTACACATGTTAAAAATTCCATTAAATATATTTTAGCTAATACACATGATTAAACAAGGTATTCTAAGAAGGATAATACTTTTTTTTTTTACAAATAACTAATTTAACAAACTTTTTTAATTTACTCAAATTAGTCAATTAGCTCTTATATTAAGAATATGACATAACTTTTTTTTTCCAACCAGGAAGAAGAATATATTATTGAGGTATGTCAAAACCCAACCTTCTTAAATTTGACTGCTCTCACAATAAATATAATGTTCATAATGTCAAGAAGATACAGAAAAAAGGTTCATAATTTATTTTTTAAATTTATATAACACGTAAAATGTCTATAATGTTTAAATATTTATGTCCTGTGGTTAATTTTTTAAATAAAACCTTAATATAAGAACTCGTTTGACTTTTATTTTGGTCTTAAATATAAGACCCCAATCCACTTTATATCTAATATTTGTGTATTTTTTTCAAAGTATTCCTTTTAATAGTGGTAGTTCTAATCAACACACCTAATTAGTAAGGATATTTTAGGAAAATAAATATATTTATTACAAATAACTAACTTAATTTATTTTTTAATCTCCTCAAATTAGTCAACTACTTTTTATAATTAAGATCGGAGGTAGTAATTGAATTGGATCATCAAACATGTCCTTAGGATCGATTTTGAGATTGCCACTAAAGGTTACTTGAATAAACAAATTTGACCAATTCTGGTTCCTCCTATCCTCAATCCACTTTATTTATATCTTTGTAGTTTTCTTGAGTTTTGAATCAGGTCAGCTGTATTTATTTTCTTTTTCTTTAATCAAATCTTATTGCTTAACGGATTTTTTTAAAACGTTGTTAGCTCTAATTGAATAGTTTTTAACATTAGGGACTATAGCAGTTGGCCCAACAAACTTTGAAGGGCTAATAAAGGGTACTTCTAATTTGTATAATTAAAGAAGGTAATTTAAAGAACTCAATACATGTTTGTTATAAATAGCTAATTTAACTAACTTTTTAATCTTTTTAAATCAATTATATGGGATATGAGGTAGTTTACATTCTCTGAATTATTCAGTAAAAAGAATTGCTTTGAAAGGCAGTAGACTCTCAATACGTTTGTGGAAGACTTCGGAATTGATAATCCAGCTTAGAATAGTGCGAAGGCTTTAAAACAAAAACGATTAGTGTACGAAAAGAAGGTATTATTAGTGTATTAGCAATTAGTTAAGATTTTAGAGAAAGACTGCTAAAGGTGTAGATTATTTTTGGGAGTTTTCACTCTGATAGTGCTGAGCATTAAAAGTTTTTTTGAGTATACGTTTACTCTAAAATTTAAAATATTAATAATATACCTTTTATTGTTAAAAATTAAGGTTAATCATTAAAAAATATGTATTAATATTAATATTTTTCAATAATGTAGATAATTAGTGTATTAGCATTAGTTAAGATTTTAGAGAAAGACTGCTAAAGGTGTAGATTTTTTTGGGAGTTTTCACCTGATAGTGCTGAGCATTTAAAAGTTTTTTTTGAGTATACATTTACTCTAAAAATTTAAAATAGTAATAATATTACCTTTTATTGTAAAAAATTAAGGTTAATCATTAAAATAATGTATTAATTATTAATATTTTCAATAATGTAGATAATTTTATTATGATTTTAAATTTTTAGAACAAATTTGTCCTAAAAAAATTCGATTTAGTGAAAATTTTGGGAATAAATTTGATCCTTGATCCACAAAAAAGAAGAAGACAAAAGGCAAATAATGGTAATAATTGTACGGTACAATCATATAATTCAATTTCAGTGGTTAAAAAGCTTGTGTAAGGAGGGTCAGAAGTGGGCCTAGATATAGGTGGAGTACATCCTAAGTCAGGTTGGAGAAAAAAAACAGTCGAAGGTTAATCAATCAAGGGTTTACTTAATTACCATCAATTAATTAATAATCTGTCAAGTTGCCTTATGATAGATTTGGATCAGTTCATGATAAGTGATCCGATATGGTTTGATAGTCTGGTCACAACATAAAACAGCAGCATGCGGAGGGCAGTTGACTTCGATAGATTCTGTCTTAAAACTATTTAATGCTGTAGGCATCATAAATATGTAAACTTGTTAAATTAATTGCTTAGGATAGGAGACACATGTATTATTCAAAAGATTAAGATTTTTTATGAGCTTATTACCAAAATGTTTTCATTTTCAACCTTCCCTTTTTCTGTTTCACGCTCACACATCCTTGGCATGCAGTTTGGATAGTTTATCCTAAAATTTTCTTTCATTTATCTCAATAAATTAAAAAAAAAAAGGGGTGTGGGTTTCCGCACATGATCAATTTATAAGGATAGGTTTAAAACAAAATACTCTTTTTTTTTGTGACACAAAGGATGTTTCCTCCTAAACTAATATGTTCTTTTTTTTTTATATTACTTCATTTCCTAATTATAAAATCTCATTTAAATTTTAATTAGGGTATACAATGTTTATATGTCAATAGTTGATTCTCAGGGTCAGGGATATTACGATTCAAGGCCAGGTCAAAATAAAAGCGCAAATGATTTAAATTTTATCTGTTAAAAAAAGATATTTTCCTTGGAGAGTAATATTTTTTAATTTTGATAAAATTTTGTATTTCATTAGACATCCTTAAAACTGACCCGGTAAATTCCATTAAAAAAAAATGGAAACTTGTCGTTTGTCTTTAACATATGGACATGAGAATTGAGAATCACGAAGCGGTAAAACTTAACAAGGACTTAATTGTTAATCTCCAAACGGTAAGAGAGAGATTCGTAAGAAATGCAGAATTCGAGAGGACTTGTTCAATTTTGACACGACCAAATCCATGGATGAGTGCAAATTATTAGTGAAGATTCTCACCTTGGCTGTCTCAAATCTCAATCCCTCTTGCTCCCCATTAGATTAGTCAACGTCTCAAACTTCTCTACTCTCATAACAAATCTCTTGTTCTGTGTGTTTCCTCACTTGTCTGTGGGTCTCCGTGTACGAGGACGAAGAAAACCCATCAGCCATTGGGCACCACCCAGACAGTCTGCATCTGACAATTCGTCACTGGAAAAACAGGGGAGGGAAGCGTGTCTCATCTTTCGCTGGCGTGGGACTATAGATCTTGATTGGGATGGACAATGATGGAAACAGAAATGACGCACGTTCAGATTCAAGATATTGAAATGACACGGGTGAGTTGTGAATTTCTACATAGAGTTTGTTGATTGCCCGAAATTCTTATTGTTTTTTTATGCTACATTAAGTGCATACAACTTTACAGCTAGGGTTCTTGCTAGTAGGTTTAGACAAGTGTGTTCTGATCTTGATAACTAAGTACTGTATCAGAAGGTTTGGGCGCTGTGGTTGAACTTGTAATTGTTATCCATTGATCTAAAGTTGTTTATGGTTATTATTTACATAATTGAAGGTCGTAGATGCACTCCTGGCTTCTGTTTCTGTACCCTGTGGGACTATAGTGATATCTTACTGGTTACTTACATTGCCATGGTAATGAATAGCTCAAGTCATGACACGAATGCAACAATGTGCCTAAGAATTAATGATTTCTTAATTGCATTTTCATATTAAACAACTACGATTGAAGTGCAGTCGTGTTAAAAAGCTGCAGAAATTTTATTTGCTTCTTTACGCTGTTGATGATTGCTGTAGTAATTTGGTCCTTGTTAGCTAAATCCGCCCAAAAATCTGATTTGTCTTCCAAGTAGTTTGTTCGTTAAACCATGCTCATGATTTTGCAAGGATGGAGGGATTGCTAAATTTCCATGATTGTTTATACATTTTCAGTTTAATTTCTTAGAATCTTCTCTTTACCAATTTGACACTCAAGGGACTCATGTAAGAATGAATCAATCAAGACGTATCATGAATATATGCATACAAACACATTGATCTGTAATTATTCTATTGTAACCTATTATGTTCTATAGAATATTGATGTCCTCAATTCAATTCTTGCAGACAGTACCCATCTAATATCCAATGTTGAATCAAGCTACAATGTCAGAACATTTTGTTTTGCTAGTGTTGTTGTTGGTATTTTCTAGCATTGGTCATGTGTGGGGTGCAAAAATAGGTCATAAAGCTCCTTGGAGGATCCACACCCTTTTCTCTGTGGAATGCCAGAACTACTTTGACTGGCAGACGGTCGGCCTCATGCAAAGCTATAGGAAGGCCAAACAACCTGGACCGATTACACGTCTTCTCAGTTGTACTGATGAGGAGAAGAAAAATTACAGAGGGATGCATTTGGCTCCCACTTTTGAGGTGCCTTCAATGAGCAGACACCCCAGAACTGGGGACTGGTAGGCTTCTGTTCCAAACTTTATTTGCTTTAGGAATTTAAATTCAATTATGAATTTTAGGTTAGGTCCTGCTGTTCGTTCATGTTAAAGTTATCTCCGGTTGCACCTTGGCATTATGGCCTGATTTTGGCAGTCTTTCTCCTCTCCCATATTCCACTTTGCGATGAATTTCAAAATTTTCCTTTTCTAAATGAGATACATACATATCATTTTATAAAAGGGAAATCCCTTTTCTGTGATAGAGGCATAATTTATAAATCATTTATTTACTATGCAGGTACCCTGCAATAAACAAACCTGCTGGAGTTGTTCACTGGCTCAAACATAGTAAAGATGCAGAAAATGTTGACTGGGTTGTCATACTGGATGCGGACATGATAATTCGGGGACCCATTATCCCTTGGGAACTTGGGGCGGAGAAAGGCAGACCTGTTGCAGCGTACTATGGGTATTTAATATTTTCATACTTCTCATCCATTTTATCACTTTGTTGCTTAGTGGTATAGTGTAAGCAGCAATTGCACCCCTCACACACTGTTGAAATAAAACAGCTTATTTAGTATTGACCAGTTATAACAACTAGAGTGGTACTCATGCATTTGCACAGAACTTGGAATAAGCCACATTGTTCACAGCTTATAAATAGCATGACATCCTTTTGTCTGTGGATTTTTTATTTATCTTCAAAGTATTTTCATCTACTACTACTACCACCACCACCACCACCACTACTACTATTATTGGAGAGAGAAGGAATGAGTTATTGTATATTTGTATTGCAAATTAGAGAATAGGACCTTCATCAAACTTTAACTGGGGATCTTTTGACTTGGCATTGAGGTCAAGTTATCAAATTTGCTTTGTTTGAACCTTGTTAAGTAGTTCATATATATTGTATTATATATTCAGTCTTTTTCATATGACTTACTGAAGTTGCTATAAACATAACCAACATTTCTCCTCCAGATATTTAAGGGGCTGTGACAATATTTTGGCCCAACTGCACACTAAACACCCAGAACTTTGTGACAAAGTTGGTGGCCTTCTGGCGATGCATATAGATGACCTGAGAAAATTGGCACCTATGTGGCTTTCGAAAACAGAAGAAGTGAGAGAAGATACAGCCCACTGGGCAACAAATATAACTGGTGATATTTATGGGAAAGGATGGATTAGTGAGATGTATGGATACTCTTTTGGTGCTGCAGAAGTGAGTTTGCTGCCCTAATTTCTTCATGAGCACCACAAAATATTTTATTTATTGTCTTACCGCTCAAACCCATCTGGCACTTAGCTTGATGTGCTTGACTTTTCAATTTTTGCCAATTACTTTTGAGTGTTTCCTTTTTCTTTCTTTTGACTCCCTTGTGGGTTTTCCCCTCCTGTTCCAGGTTGGACTTCGGCACAAGATCAATGATAACTTGATGATTTACCCAGGTTATGTTCCGCGAGAGGGAATAGAGCCAATTCTGCTTCACTATGGGCTACCATTTAGTGTGGGAAATTGGTCGTTTAATAAACTAGCTCACCATGAAGATGATATTGTTTATGATTGCAATCGGCTCTTTCCAGAACCTCCTTATCCTAGGGAGGTATGTCAACCTGTTGAAGGAAATTATGGTCCTTTTTCAATGGCCATTTTGCTTGTTTTCTCGGGACTGATTTCCTGTGTTGTTGATAAGCAAGCATTTTGGTGTTTGCATTATTCATTATTATAAGCTTGTTGTCATTTTTGTGGACTCCAGCTGGTCCCTTAAGCTCAAGTTTCAATCTCAATATTTTGCATTTATGTACAGGACATGTTGGATCAGTTATCTTTCTTACTTTTCATCTTTTTACTTTTATTTTTAACCAGGGGGCTTAAATTGGAAATTTCTTGTTGCAGGTAAGGATGATGCAAATTGACCCTAATCAAAAGCGTGGGCTGTTTCTCAGTGTAGAGTGCATGAACACTTTAAATGAAGGTCTTTTATTGCAGCATGCGGCTAATGGTTGCCCTAAACCAGCATGGTCTAAATACTTGAGTTTCTTGAAAAGCAAAACCTTTGCCGAGCTAACTAAGCCTAAATATGTTAATCCTGCTACTCTAGAAATGATGGAGGATAAGGATACCGTTCAAGAACCTGATGATGATGATGATGCTGGAAAGCCTCATCCTAAAATCCATACTGTCTTTTCCACAGAATGCACACCATACTTTGAATGGCAGACTGTAGGGCTTATGCACAGTTTCCGTACAAGTGGGCAGCCAGGAAATATCACTAGACTTCTCAGCTGTAATGATGACGACTTAAAGCAATATAAGGGCCATGACTTGGCACCCACCCATTATGTTCCATCAATGAGCCGACATCCATTAACTGGCGATTGGTAATTTTGTTCATTCCAATTGTATTATGTTGGGCGTTAGTCCTCTTAGTTGCTTGTTGTTACCTCACCAAAATCTCAGTGAGCTGGCCTCCTTAATATTCTTTTCATTGTCACTGAAGCTTTATTCATCCTAGTCAAAGTAGTTACTTACCTTTTTTTTTTTTTTTCAATTGATTTTTTCTCTGATTATCATTGCTGCATGATGTGATTTATAACTTGAAAATAAGATCATTAGTGTTTTTTATGCTCTCTAGTCTCTAGTATCTTACAGCTTTTAGTTCTAGATATTCCTGTCAGAATCTTTCCAACCTTCTGAGTTGCTTGATGTGACTATTTAACTCATGCAATGATTTTGATGTCCTAAAGATGTGGATATTGATCTTCATTCATTAAATGTGTTTGGTGGTGATCACATTTCATTCCAAACAAATTTTGATTATTTATTCACTGCCGTAGAATTGTTTATATTTTTCTTATGCTGGATGTTGCTTGCTTAAGGATAAATGCACAATAGGGATTGTCATATGGTTGTTTCATGCAGTGTGAAGTTATTGGGAGGTCGCTTGTTCATAGTTTTTCTATTTTTCTGAATGATTGAGAGTTAGAGGATAACAAGTCTTGGAATTTTTGTTTCATTTTAGGTATCCAGCAATTAATAAGCCTGCTGGAGTGCTTCACTGGCTCAACCATGCAAACATCGATGCAGAATTCATAGTTATTCTTGATGCTGATATGATCTTGAGAGGTCCAATCACACCGTGGGAGTTCAAAGCTGCCCGTGGCCGGCCTGTTTCTACTCCATACGAGTAAGACCAGTGAATTTAATTTATGGTGGTGGTCTATAAATTTTGCTGCTGATGTCCAGGCAATATCAGTAGCAGCCAAGCGCATGGACGAATGTCTGCCTTTTCCTGTTTTAATGGCCTCTATTTTGATCATTATTACTCATTCTTTATTGCCCGCCTTTGTTTCTGGGCAGCTATCTTATTGGTTGTGATAATGAGCTCGCAAAACTTCATACGAGCCATCCTGAGGCTTGTGATAAGGTTGGTGGAGTAATCATTATGCACATTGATGACCTACGACAATTTGCCATACTATGGCTGCACAAAACAGAGGAGGTCCGGGCTGATAGAGCTCATTATGCCAGAAATATAACAGGAGACGTATATGAATCTGGGTGGATCAGTGAGATGTATGGTTACTCATTTGGCGCCGCGGAGGTAAGATGCTTTTTTTTTTTTAAAGCATAAGTTATCCTAGTAGGTTGTGGGCATTTATATTTTAAATTTCTCCTCAAAAATATGAAACATATTTCATAGCTGTAACTGACAATTCTGTCTATGCAGTTGAATTTAAGGCACCGCATTGAAAAAGATATACTGATATATCCGGGATATGTTCCTGAACCTGGTGTCAAATATAGAGTTTTCCACTATGGATTGCTCTTCAGAGTTGGGAATTGGAGCTTTGACAAGGCTGACTGGAGGGAAGTTGACATGGTTAACAGATGCTGGGCTGAGTTCCCGAATCCGCCAGATCCCTCAACACTCAGTGATTCTGACACGGATGCTCGAGAACGAGACCTGCTTAGCATAGAATGTGTAAGAACACTGAATGTAGCTCTGCGCCTGCATCATGAGAGAAGGAACTGCCTCATTGGTGGTTCCTTGTCCAGTTCAGAAGGCAATGCAACCAATGAAACGGGAGTTTCGAGGAAGCTCGGCGACTTTAATGAAACTTTTGCTTCAAGAAGCAATCACATGTCAGCAAATTCTGAGAAAGATGGGATGCTCAGTTCTTTCAAGTTCTGGGTGATAGTATTGTGGGCATTTTCTGGCCTGGGTTTCTCTGTGGTCATTTTTCTTGTTTACTCAGGTCATAAGAGAAGAGGAACAAGGATGAAACACCATAGAAGCCGGAGAAGAGGCTTGTATCCCGGATACATGGAAGTAAACGGCCGTGATCGGCATAGCCGTGGTGTTGACGTACCTCTGTAACATCTTTTTTCTTTATCATGGTGTAAAGCTGAGAGGTCAGAATTAATTTAAGACTATTATGTCATGCAAGGATTACAATCAGGTTTGCAAGCCGTAAGAGTGCACCAGAGGGAGCTCATGCTATGGCTTAATGAGTTTCCTCCGGTTGTGCCTTGCACAGTTTTTAAACTCAATGTTGTAAACTTATTTAGAAACAATTTGTTACACATTTTTCCCCAATAAGTTTGAAATATTAATTATTAATGATAGAAGAATAGTTTGATATCCAAAGCTTTAATTCAGGTAAGGCTACTTATTCTCAGGGCCACGTTAAGATTTTCGGCTTTGAACACCAGATCTCTAGGATAATTGGAAAGATTGTCACTAGTTGTTTTAGTTAATACCACTTACACTTCTTACATGCTCTGATTGGTGGCTCTGTCTTATTTTCTTTTCTTAAATGCTGTCCCATCTATCTTTTCAAGCATATCGTTTTATTTATAAACCATAAATCAGTTGCATGATGTGCAAACGAAGGTCAATTAGTTCTCTAGATGTAGTATTACTTAAAAAATCAAACAAACAAAAATCATGGTAAGTCTGCAAACATGAGAAGAAATAAATATTTTCATCTAAAAAGAAGAAATAAATATTTTCAAAATTAATACAAATAAATGAAATCATCATACTAGTATTTATGAAATCTTGTCATTTGTTCAAAAGTGATTTGAGTTTCGCCCTTCTTAAATTACATTATGGAAGAAATTAACACATAATCTCACATAAGTAATTCAATTATTAGAAAGTCTCACAACAAATGACTATGTATGCCACTCATTTGTCGCAGGATTTTTATTTTATTTTATTGATTAGAGTATTTATGTGGGAGCAGAGAGGGATTTTTCATAAATAATAATAAATTATTTTAATGACCGATGATTTTAAAAATACGAGTCCATTTTCAAAAGCAGCCCTATGCTTCTTCGTTACAATCCCTAGTTGTTCGAATTCACTGTAAAGCCCGCTCTTCTATAAACCCTCTTCGTTTTCCCTCTCCCCAAGCTCCTCATTCTCATCCCCTCAATCATGGAATGGAATCCTCAGACTCTCCAATTCCTCTCCGAATGCTTCCTCCACACCCTTTCCCCCTCGCCGGAGCCTCGCCGCCGCGCTGAAGCCTCTCTCGCTGAGGCTGCCGACCGTCCCAACTACGGCCTCGTAGTGCTCCGCCTCGTCGCCGAGCCTTCCGTCGATGATCAGATCCGTCAGGCTGCTGCCGTCAACTTTAAGAACCACCTCCGTGTCCGATGGGTCCCAGCTGCTTCGGATGACGCCAATGTGCCCACTTTCTCCCCGATACTTGACCCGGAGAAGGAACAGATTAAATCATTGATAGTGCCGCTGATGCTTTCGGCCACTCCCAAGATTCAAAGCCAACTTAGTGAAGCTTTGGCTGTAATTGGTAAGCATGATTTTCCGAAATCGTGGCCTGCGTTGCTTCCTGAGCTCATTTTGAATCTTCAGAAAGCATCGCAGGCCTCTGATTATGCCTCTATTAATGGTATTCTTGGTACTGCCAATTCTATTTTTAAAAAGTTTCGGTACCAGTATAAAACCAACGACCTATTGCTTGATTTGAAGTATTGTCTTGATCTTTTTGCGGCGCCTCTACTGGAAATATTTCTCAAAACGGCTTCGTTGATTGATGCGGCCGCAAACCCTGGAGGACTTGCTGCTGATCTTCGTCCCCTTTTTGAGTCACAGAGGTTGTGTTGTAGGATATTTTATTCATTAAATTTTCAGGAGCTGCCTGAGTTTTTCGAGGATCACATGAAGGAGTGGATGACTGAATTTAAAAAATACCTCACTACAAGTTATCCTGCACTTGAGAATAGTGGTCCTGATGGTCTGGCACTTGTAGATGAGCTTCGAGCTGCAGTTTGTGAGAATATTAATCTTTATATGGAAAAGAACGAGGAGGAGTTTCAAGCATTCCTGAATGATTTTGCACTTGCTGTGTGGACTCTACTCGGGAATGTGTCCCAATCTTCTAGCCGTGATCAGCTGGCTATCACAGCAATCAAGTTTCTGACCACTGTTAGCACTAGTGTGCACCACACCTTGTTTGCTAGTGAAGGAGTAATACCACAGATTTGTCAGGGCATTGTGATCCCGAACGTAAGGTTGAGGGAAGATGATGAGGAACTCTTTGAGATGAATTATATTGAGTTTATTAGGAGAGATATGGAAGGTAGTGATCTTGATACTAGGAGGAGGATTGCTTGTGAACTACTCAAAGGGATTGCAACACATTATGGGGACACTGTCAGAAGCATTGTTTCTGCACTAATACAAACTTTATTGAGTTCGTTTGCTGCAAATCCAGTGGTAAATTGGAAGGACAAAGATTGTGCTATATACCTGGTAGTCTCTCTTGCAACCAAGAAGGCTGGAGCTAGTCATGTCTCAACAGAACTTGTTGATGTACAGAGCTTTTTTGAATCTGTTATTGTCCCAGAGCTGCAGAGTCCAGATGTGAATGGGCATCCTATGCTCAAGGCAGGTGCTCTCAAATTTTTTACGATGTTCCGCAGTCACATATCAAAACACATAGCATTGAAGTTTTTTCCAGATTTGGTTCGTTTCCTTTCTGCAGAATCAAATGTTGTTCATTCTTATGCTGCAAGTTGTATTGAAAAACTCTTGTTGGTGAAGGATGAGGGAGGTAGAGCCCGTTATACATCAGCTGACATTAACCCTATTTTCCCTGTGCTGATGAACGGTCTTTTTAGTGCCCTGAAGCTCCCAGAGTCTGAAGAAAATCAATATGTAATGAAGTGTATCATGAGGGTTCTTGGGGTTGCAGATATATCTGTTGAAGTTGCTCGAATCTGTATTGAGAGTTTAGCCTCTATTCTTGGTGAAGTTTGCAGAAATCCAAAAAATCCCATCTTCAATCATTATCTCTTTGAGTCTGTGGCGATTCTTGTAAAGAGGGCCTGTGAGAGGGATTTGTCTCTTGTATCCGTTTTCGAAGCAAGTCTCTTCCCCAGGCTTGAAATAATATTGGCCAATGACGTTACTGAATTTTTCCCATACACATTTCAATTGCTTGCTCAACTTGTTGAGTTGAACAGGCCACCTGTTCCAGCAATCTACATGCAGATATTTGAGATCCTTTTATCACCTGAGTCTTGGAAAAGAGCTCCAAATGTTCCCGCACTTGTGCGTCTTCTCCAGGCCTTCCTCCAGAAGGCTCCACATGAGGTCAGCCAAGAGGGTAGGCTGAGTAAGGTGCTTGGCATATTTGACTCACTTATTCAATCTCCTGGCACAACTGAGCAAGGATTTTATGTGCTCAATACGGTCATTGAGAGTCTTGAGTATGCTGTCATTGAACCTTATGTTTCTCACATTTGGGCTGCCATTTTCAGAGAGCTTCAAAAGAAGCGAACAGTAAAGCTTATCAAGTCTCTCTTAATATTCATGTCACTCTTTCTGATTAAGCATGGTCCTTCTAACCTTGTTGAGACTATGAATCGTGTCCAGCCTGATATATTTACTGTGATTCTAAAGCAATTTTGGATTCCTAATTTAAAGCTTATTACCGGAGCTATTGAACTCAAGTTGACTGCTGTTGCTTCAACTAGACTTATATGTGAATCTCCAATCTTCTTAGATGCTGCAGCTGCTGAATCCTGGGGGAAGATGGTTGACAGCATTGTCACCCTTCTTTCACGGCCAGAAGAGGATAGAGTTGAGGATTTACCTGACATGCCAGATTTTACTGAAAATGTGGGTTATACTGCCACCTTTGTTCGTCTTTACAATGCTGGAAAGAAAGAGGAGGATCCTCTGAAAGATATAAGAGATCCCAGGGAATTTTTTGTGGCTTCATTGTCCCGACTTTCTTCACTTTCTCCTGGGAGGTACCCTACGATCATTAGTGAAAATGTCGATCCAACAAATCAAGCAGCATTGGTTCAGCTTTGCCAAACTTATAATCTCGTAATAGCCTGAGTAAGTAGAAGTGAATGATGCTTGATTTCCCATTTTTTGGATCTGCTAATTATTGGATTAGAAATGTTCTGAGTGTAATAGTTTTGTCAATTTTGCTGTAACATTTTTTGCACAAGTTTTTTCCTTACCAATCTGTCACTTCATTGGACCTTGCATAAATTTATTGTTATCAATTAGTATTTATGCTTCTTTTCATCATGCTTTTATAAAGCCTCTGGTCCTGATTATAAGACCTCATTTGTAGACAATGAGGTTTTATAATTAGGACAGGAGGTAGTACATAAATATAGATACAATATAATTTAAATTTTATTGTGCTATTTCCATGATAGACAGTTCTTGGTTGCTGCTGTTCCTACTTGGAAACCCCCCCCCCCCAAAAAAAAAAAACTCTTGGTAAGAAGCATAAATAGACATTTTAAGGAATCATAAAATATTCAGCTTTGGCAGAAATAGCAATTGTAAATAAATAAATCTGAATAGCAGGAACTATCAAAATTTTATTATTGTTCAATAAGCACAATTGGAAGAATCAAAGCTGGCTAAATATGTGTGTATGCTGTGGCCCATTCAGAAATCGGAGGTCTTTAGGCTTTATTTGATACCAAGAATACCAGTTTTGATATGCTTATCTTGGAATTTGTGAGATTTTAGTACGGGAAGTGTTTCGTTATTATTGTCAAATAACAGGAAAAATCTGAGGTGAGGCTGATGCTTGTCATGCACTCTTTCTATGAAAATTACAAACCTCGTATGCTTTTAATGCATAAAAATTTCTCTGTTTTTAGTCTCTATTTGCTCCAGTTTCTTAGGGTCCACTTTAGGTCCATATCTCCATTGCTGTTACTGAGATGGTCAACGAGTCTTGTGCACATGAGCTGCTCACCTTATTTAACGTTTTCTGATTGGGTCCCGCCATGTATTGTGCTAGTCTAACCAGCTGCCTGTGCTCATTGGTGCGCAGCTGTTGAGGGATACCTTTGCATGCAACATGATAGAATATCTCGCTCCTTTGGCAGTCTGGTTGAGAAATTCCCACAGTTGATATTTTATCATATTTGTGCAAGGACTGAGGTTGAAACTTACAAGTGCACCTTTTACGTGTCTAATGATTTTCAATCCTTATTATTCTATCTACGTTATGCTTCAATGGTCCATTTTGGTTGAGAATGAGTGATATTAATTCTTTCTTTAATAATCCATTTGTTCTACTCCACAGGATTATATGCTGGAATCGAATTGATGGTGTTATATTGGGTTCGGAAGAGTGTGTCTGCG